TAATCTCAGGACTCTTAAAAAGCAGGTATAATTTATGCATCAACAGGTAAATCTGATTTATGAGACCAAGTCAGTGTTAGACATTATTACAGTGAGCATGCTAATATGAAAAGATGGATTTTAAGAGCAGTTTTGCAGAGTCCAGTATATGGATGGGGGGTTGGGGGGTGATCCAAAGTTTGGGTGCAGCGTAGGAGAAGGACCTAGCACCCATTGTGCTGAGGCTGATGGCTGGTTGTGCCAGAAGACTTGTTGTGGAATGCCGCAGGGAGCGAGATGGAGTGTAAGTGTGTATGAGGTCAGTGAGATAAACAGAGGGGATATTATCTCTTTATGTTTTTAACTATTCTTTGTACACATTAAAACAAATCACAGGACTGATACAACAACAGCAAGTGCAGGAAGTAATATGAAACTCATAGCTTATCAAATAACAAGGGCCAACTTACAAAAATAATAAATTAGGAAAAAGAGATTGTACCAGATGCAGACATTGACAGTTGGCAGCGTGAGTAACATGTGAATCATCACTTTTGCTTTTACAAGACCTTTTACTCTTTCTACACTGATTCACAGGTGAGAAGATAAATGGAAGGTGATAATTGGTTAAGGTGGAAAAGTGGATAAGCAGAGTTTCAGTCACAAACAGTGGGCTCTATCTTTAGACTATCTGTGGGGTACTTTAATTAACTCACATGAGAAAGTCGATACCAATTGGATTGGATGGCTTCCAGGCACCAGTTACGCCTAGCTGTTCAGTTGTAGTTTTTTTGTTTTTGTTTTTTATTTGTCATTGTGACATTTGTGCAGTGTTTCTTACATTCACAATGATCTGACATTTTGCTTGTACAAGCTTTAATTTTTTAGAAGGTGGATAAATCCATTAAGTATCTCCTTGAACCCTAACCATGTTAAAGCATCTGAACAATAGCACTGCAACAAACTTCTAAAGGTATTATTTTAACTTTTTTAATCGGGAAACTCCTGTTCAAATTCACGCCTGTTTATTCATCTGGACTGGATATTGTTTTCATTCTTATAGCATGTGACGGTTGTCAAAGGAAAATGTAATGTACTTGCCATGTACTTGACTCTCAGTTGTCCTACTGATGAGAACTGTCCCCTATAGTATAATAATCACCTGTATAGTACCCTTAGGAAATATAAGCTGAGAAAAAATACAAACAAACAGTAGACAATTTGAGACTAATGCACAAGAGCAATACAGAAAGAAAGAAATACTAAAAACAATAAATTAGATTAGAATCAGAATCAGAAATTCTTTATTGATCCCAGCATGTCAAGATACTAAGGAAAAGAAATAACAGTAAAGTAGGAAATATACAATATACAAATACAAATATACAAATATAGTGTGGATATTTACAGTATTTTACAGCAAACAGAAATGTAATGATAAATAGTAGTGATGGTTTTATAGTAATAATGAGCAAATATGGATACAAATATAAGTATAAGGCCTGTAGATATGTACAGGATTACACAGTATTAACAGAAGTGGCATGATGAATAGTAGTAGCCAAATGAATTAATTACAAATAGTAACAATGAGTACAGTTGATGTAGTTGGGTACAGTCCTAAAAACAGCAGTAATGGGAAACCTTCAGTTAAGGTAACCCTGCAGATCAATAAGAGCTGCTACATGTGGAGACTGTAACATCTTTTGCCCAAAATGTTTTTTCTGTGAAAGGAGCCAATCTGTGGAACTGTCTTCCTACAAACATAAAGACTTTAACTAAACTGTCCACCTTCAAAAAACAAACAAAAGCTTGGCTCATACAGCAGCAGCAGTGTGATCATGCTATATGCATGCCATATGAAATGTGTATCTGTGTGTATGTGAGGTGTGCATCTGTGTGAGTTCCAGTGAATGTGTTTATTTACTACACTAACTTTTATTGGTGCTAACTGGTTTCTGTACATCTTATATCACTGTAAATTTTTACTCCTTCATTATCTCAACTGTTAAGAGCCCTTCTAGGGACAGGTGTTGCGAATTAGCCTCGGCTATAAACTCTATGATACAGGCATCGGATTGTTTTTTATGTAATAATTTTTTTGTATCTGTCCCTATTCAAATTAACAACAAATAAAAATAAAATAAAATGGTTCAGGGTCTGACACGTAAAGTGGTGCATTTTGGTAAAACATTTTGACAGTATGCGGATTGTACGTGTTACAGCACACTTTCCCCCCTTTAACGTCTCTCTACTAATTACTGGTGATAGAGGAAACAGATAAAACCGATGTTCGCAAGCAATTTGACTGTTGCTTAAGGTGCCTGCACCTCTACAGCGACAAAGACTGGCGCATGCACATACGAGGTTAACGGGAGATGCTGCAATCCTTTTGTCTAATATATTTAAACTATTATTATTATAATGCACACACTACAAGCAATTGTGCATACTGTGCCTGTCCTTTTAATCTTTTTCAAATAACACTATCGCAGTTCATTTGTGGTAATTACGCGCGAAAATATGACAAAATGTTTTAACAATTATTACAATACATGAAAACAAGCCCATCGCTTTCCCGTTTTCTGCCTATGAGGGGTTGACAGGGCTGACGCACAAAAACAGCCATAGTAACAATATAATTTCGGGTCTTGCTCCAGCTCTCCAAACTGGAGCGTGACGCATGACGCGTTGGGGAGGCGCGGCGAACTTCCCCTATATATTTCCAGCCTGCTCTCCTCTGGCTTCATTGAGAAAGTGAGAGCAAGGTTAAGAGCCCTCACATCGCTGAAAGGATTTAAAGCCATATCTTGCTACAGAGCCAACTATCCGCTACTGCAAGTATGATTAAGAAAATGTCACCGTCCGAGAATGACTTCGACATACCGGCCAAGAATTGCCACCGGATGGTGATTCTGGGCTCCACTAAAGTTGGGAAGACAGCCATCATCTCTCGGTTTCTGAACGAGAGGTTTGATGACCAGTACACACCCACTATTGAGGACTTTCACAGGAAATTGTACAGCATCAGGGGAGACGTTTATCAACTGGACATTTTGGACACATCTGGAAATCATCCCTTCCCTGCAATGAGGAGACTTTCAATTCTAACCGGTGAGTTTAGCTTTAAAACCACTTCAAGCCCACACAGCATGCTGCTGTTTACAGAGTTCACTACTGTTAAAATGTTGTTATTATTTTGTATTGAACCTGTGTTCTCTTGTGTTTTTAGGTGATGTGTTCATCTTGGTATTTAGCCTGGATAACAGAGACTCCTTCCAGGAGGTGCAGCGCCTGAAGCGCCAGATTTATGAGACCAAGTCCTGCCTGCGAAACAAAACCAAGGAGAACGTCGACGTCCCGCTGGTCATCTGCGGCAACAAGTGCGACAGGGACTTTTACCGCGAGGTGCAGGAGGACGAGATCGAGCAGCTGGTTGGTGAAGACGAGCACTGCGCTTACTTTGAAATTTCAGCAAAGAAGAACACCAACGTAGACCAAATGTTCCAGACTCTCTTCACCATGGCCAAGCTGCCTAACGAAATGAGCCCCGACCGGCACTGCAAAGTTTCCCTGCAGTACTGCGAGGTTCTTCACAGAAAGTCCTTCAGAAACAAGAAGTGCAAAGATGGGAACGCATATGGGATTGTGGCGCCGTTTGCACGGAGACCGAGCGTGCACAGTGACTTGATGTACATAAAGGAAAAAGCTGTAGGAGGCAGCCAGACCAAAGAGAAAAGCTGCGTCATATGCTGACATGTTCTTTGCCTTTCTGTGAGACTTTCCAGAGCTGAAGCGGCCAGCTGTTCTGCATACAGGGCACATAGGTCCAAATACTGTAGACATCAGCCTCTGAGGCAACAGTGACACACTGTGATCCAAGCTCTGCTGACACACATGGGGCTAGTGGCTCTGCTCATAGGCCTAACCCCCATGTGGTGATGCAGTAGATGCTCTGAAAATGCTGTAAAATCTGCCTCTACATTAGCTTGCCGAGAAAGGCACTGGAGAAATGAATGTTTACATTTAGCTAGTTTTTTCAGACTTGATGGAACTTGAATGTTTGTTGCATTATGAACAAATTTGAACCTGAATGTATATTTATTATGTCCACTTCAACTTTTGCAGAAAAGAGAAAATAAAACCCACTTGTTACTTTCAAACTGTCTTCCTCTGCACTTTCAAGCAAAACACAATGAAGTTAAACACTGCACACAGTTATGCACATTTCATACTGGAAAATGTCGTCCTTTTGTTAAAATAAGATATAGCTCATTCTGTCACTTCATACACAGGCAGACAAATGATGTCAAAACTGCAGCATACTGAACTGAGGGTCCATTAGGAATGTTAAACACACTCTCCACACTGTTTCAAACACTTTCACAGTTTAAATGTGGATACACGCATTCCACTATTGAACCATTGGACCTTGAATCACCCTAAATCCCCTCAAGTCTCAAACAAAATGAATGATCATTTATTTGGACTGATAAAATAGTGCCGAAACATATAGTCTCAATTAAAGGCAGCAAATCAATCAGCGTGCTCTAGTCTTTGTTTTTCCTTTGGAAAAATGATCAATTTGCATACTGTTAGTTTAATTGCATCAAAAAGATGCTTAAATAATGATGAGGGCCACTTGCTTAAATGTAGGCCTGCAACTCACAATTATTTTCATTGTCGATTATTTTCTCAATTAATCGATTAGTTGTTTGGTCAACAAAATGTTAGAAAATGGTGAAAAATGCCGATCAGTGTTTCCCAAAGCACAAATATATTGTTTTGTCCACAACCCAAAGATATTCAGTTTACTGTCAAAGTAAAGAAGTCAGAACATATTTACATTTAAGAAGCTGTAATCAGAATTTTAACTATTTCTTTCTTAAAAAATGACTCAAACCAATAAAATTATCATAATAGTTGCCGATTAATTTAATAGTTGACAACTAATCGATAAAATATTGCGGGTCTACTTAAAAGAATGTGTAGTAGGCTCAATAAAAAAGGCGTTGGGCTAATCAGTTCTTAATCAATGCATTTAATTGAAAAATAAGAACATAAAAAGATAACAAAATCAAACACTGCTTTTAATACAAATGCTACATAAATAACTTTGTATTCTCGCAATACTAAAAACAAAATGACAAAAGCAGGACTGACGTTCAAAAATATCTTGCAATGCGATGCAACTGAGGAAAAATAAGTCCTTGTTCATTCAAACGTCCATCCCGTATTTCTGAAATCACATTTGTCTGCCACATGGGCGAGGATGAAAACAGAAATTCCTTCATGCACCTCGACTGTCTGTGATCTTTTTCCAGTCATTGCAGTAACCCACGCTTCCCTTTCATGACGCTTTTGGCACGTCAAACATGCACAGAGTTTTGTATTTCTGCAGCAGTTGGTTCTTGGTGCGGACCTGCTCCCGCAGAGTGTCTAGCTGCTGCTGCTGCTCCAGCGGACTGCTGTCTATCCCGGGCATGTTGGATATCTGCTCCCGAGCCTCCTGAATCTTTGCCTTCAGCTTGGCCAGTTCTTGGTGGACATCCTGACTGTCCTTGTCCATGCTTAAAGAAAATAACGTGAACAAGAGAAAACATTATGTCCATGTTCTTATGTTATTTCGACCATTGTCGTTTTCTAGTCTACCTAGCTGTAACGTTAACTAACCGATAGCTAACGTTAGCATTAGCTAACAACAAGCGTAGCAACCCCACCAAAACGACGACAAGAGGTTTTCACAGAGTCATGAATCAACACATAACATACACGGATGTGCTGAAAGGCTTACCATTTGATAATATCATGAACTAAAGGCAGCAAAGAGCAATCGTCGCTCTCTTTCTCTTGTTTTGGTTGAGCCTGTACCGCCATCACGCTTCCTGCTTCGCGGCGCAGATACTGTACGTCTAGCGTCATGTGATGACGTCACTACAAAAGAAACAACTATTGAATTTCTAGATCACACTGAAAAAGTGACTTAACACCTCCAAAATACCAAAGTGGGACTACTTTTTCATTTTGGCAAACATAATTTGTAAACTTTCACCGACACTGCTTGAAACAGGCTACATTAGCTAGTGAAAAAAAAACCAAATGGTCCCAAGTTCTAATAGATTTATTTTAGTTAATTATGGCACAGCCTTATAGTATTTTAATTATCATTTGGGTGCTTGGTAATCAGAAATTAATAAAAACAAAGTGTTCTTTTTCTAAATTTATCTTATTGTCAAGCTGTGTATAAATGTGCTGATTGATCCCAGGAGGTCATCAGACAAGCTAAACAGAGAGGATTTCATTCTTACAGTAGGCCTAAATTTCACAACAACAATGTGGTTTAAAAAGTTTCACCAGGTGGGTAGTAACGAGTTACATTTACTCCGCTACATGTATACCGACTCCAACTTTTTTGAGTTAATTATACTTGTCAGAGTAGTTTTAAAGCATCATATGCTTACTCTAACTTGAGTAGATTTTTAGAGAAAAATCATTAATTTTACTCCATTCAATTTGGATACATCCATCGTGTTACTTTTAGTTATTTATTATTTTATGCATTCATGATCTGTTAAGAGGTAGGTGGTCAGCTGATCCCAAGTCTGCTAGTGCCTTGTAATCCTACTGCAGGCACGCATCCATGACTCATGGCAGGACGACTGCTTGCAGTTAATATACAGTCTATAATAATTACAGATGAAAATTTAGTGCACAGTGCAGCGGGTTCCTGTTGTGAAGTCAGTACATCAGAGAGCAGAGAGCAGTGTCTGGTGAGTAAATGCTAATATGCTTTTAATAAAGCTACACACTGTATATCATGCTTCAAAAATACTCCTGCTTTCTGTCGTGATGTAAATAGTGTATGAGCAGTGTGCATTTACTATTCATGCTCATTGGTGTAGCCTGTGAAAAGAGACCAAATTGTGCACAAACAAAAAAAGACAAAAAACAACAACACTGGGGCTTTCCCCCCAAGTCGTGTATTTCATGTGGCTGTGACTGATAAAATATTAGAACCACAAATGCTCTTCCTCAGGTAAAAGTGAAGAATGGAACACACCTGTATTTTATAGGCAATAAAATTATAAAACATCACAGTATCATCACCTAATTAGATTTTTTGCCAAATCATTATTTATTATGGGAGACAAGGAAAGAATGTATATTTTTAAACAATCTTTACTTATTGGCATACTAACAGGCTATAATATTAAGGAAGTATTTTGTAATCACACTGGGAATACTGTCCTGGTGTATATATGGCAGGTTATCTAATCAGGATATGATGACCTTTCATTTGGTCACTAAATAAATACAAATTTATGTTTGCTTCTTTAACTTTCCCTGAGGAAGACCATCAGCAGCTGAAATAATTCCACTCACATCCACAAAAAATGGACTTGGGGGAAAAGTGTTTTTTTTTTTTTTTTTTTTTTTTTTATTTCTTTAGTAACTCGCTTCTCAAGTAATTCTTTCAGTAAATACTTTTGAACTCTTACTCAAGTAGTTATTTTGATGACCACTACTTCTATTTGAGTACTTGTTTTTGCAAAGTAACAGTACTTTTACTTGAGTACAAATTTTTGCTACTCTACCCACCTCTGCAGGATAAGTGGTTGATGATGGATGGATGGATGGATGGATACCCACCTCTGACCGTGCTTGCTTCACTTTTGCCTAATTGTAGGATTTACATGTTGCATCTTCACAATATGTCCATATGTGTCACCAGAAAACAAATTTTCCTTTTTTATCACGGGTTTGTGTCAAAAATATATTTTTAGATATATGAATAATATGATTTTCTTTTTCAGGCAACCCCAGTCTAGGGGGTTTTAGTTATACTGCTATTTATTTAAGACTGTTGCCCAAATTGATTCTCTTTTGAATGAAACCCCTAATAGCCTATATTCCTCCTGAAATAGGCCACAGATAATCTATTAATACACAGAACAAACAAGCCTGACATGTGATGGCCTGTAATAAATGCTTCTCATGCCACTACCTAGCAACCTTAAGCACAGAACGTGGGACCTGTGTAAACATTAGTGTGCATGATGGACTGCAATGAGCCATACTAAGTCTAATCTATGGATCGGTGAAGAATTGTATTCAGGTCATGCATTTCTCTCTGGGTATCCATCTATCTTCCTTGTCTGGTGTACATGGCTGCTTTGTGTTGAAATTAGATTAATGATACACAATGAAAAGGGTGACCAAACAAAATATGGACAGGGGTGAGCATCATTAGTGTTTCCGGTCTATGAGATACACAGCACAATACGGTAGCTCTGCAAATAAGAAACGACCCTGGTTTTTTTTCTCCCCCTCCATTGACCCATTTTCCTGTGATATCAGGCAAGTTGTAAACCTCATTAACTTGGCAACTTAAATGATTTTACAATACGCTCTCTTAGGTCAGACTACTGACAAGTCAGAGTGAGTTAATATTGGTAATGTGGCCATGTGTAGTTTTTATTGAGTTGCTTATCTTCCTGCAGATGGAGGGATTAGACACCCGTTATGAACAGCATCACAAATTACAAATTGTGTTAACAATATACTTAATTCATCTGTAAAGTATCAGAGGTGTATTGTCTTTTAAAAGCATAAATCCACATGCGGTAGCAGGCTTGCCGTACAGGCCCTTGACCTTTGCTGTAGCTGTTGGAATTGTACATGATCTTTTCATTTAAGCGATTTGATTTTATCTTTTGATCTTCAAAACCTCACTGACCTATATATTTTCACTGCTATATGTTCTAATCAAAGGATATCAGAGCACCTAATCCCCTCTGTTTCCCACACACACTTTGCCCACACCTGGTAAACACTGAAGGGACATATTCTCATTATATCATGACACAGCCATGGGAGACCTAATTAAGAGCAGTTACAGTGAGACGTAACCTCAAGTTTAGACATGAGACTTTTAAAACATTTTCCTTGATCACGCCAACTGAGTGGTAGTGCTGGTGATCTTACAAGACGCAAAGTAGCAGTATTCATTTTGAGCTTTATGTACTGCTGAAACTTACAGAGATAGCGCCTGTGACCCAGTTTTGAGTTTGTAGGGCATTATGCAGCCGTGTTTTACCATTTGGGTCATGGGGAAAGCTCTGACACCTCACTTTTATGTGTTCTAAAAAAACAAAAGTAGGCCATTTCATGACCCAGCAATCGCATCCTGCAAAAATAAATTGAACATGCTCGATTGGAATAAAGTGCACATTGTAACTGTAGTTAGACTCATCACAGCTGTGTCATGTAGTAAAATGACGTGTGTGTGACAATAGTAAAGGTAGTAGAATTTCCTATCCAGGTAAGATTAGGTTACATAAGATACGTTTTTTATTGTGAGATATATGTCATACTGATACATTCTGAATTTGACCCATTTAAAGCTGGGGAATTGGCCACAAGACAGGAAGAAGCTTGTTAGCTCACAGTCATGTTGGGCAGAATCACTGATATCTATTTGGCTGTCTTGTGTCTTTGATCCTTTGGAAGGGAAGGCAATTAGCCAGCAAGCTATTTCACGAATAACGGCAAGAAAAAAGCAACAAACTTTATTCTCTTATTGCTTAGATAGAGAAGTAAATGCTTATGCTGTTAATCTTGTGACATCCACATTTGCATCTTCTGTCTGGATTACAAGCAATGGTAGGATTTATGTTAGCCACGTAGTCCCATTAATGATTATATATATTTACATATGAATGCGTATTTAACTGAAAATGTTGTTTAATATCTACTTGTTGCAATAGAATCACAATCTCTGCGCCGATTTTTGGAAATCATATTCATGCTTAAAATATACAGCTATGGTTACTTGTGGCTACTTAAGGATGTAAATTATTGTATACTAATAGTTATCCATCTATGATCCCTCTGTGGACCACTTTTCAGAATATTCAAGCAATGTTTTATTTAGAAAGTTAATGACAGTGATGATATGAGGATGACAGCAGACATCATTTACGAGCTTTATACTTTGGTTATGTCATATAGCTTTTCGTTGTTTTTGTAATCTTGCTGTTCAAATCACCACAGTACAGAGCCTGACTTCCATCAAACTTGTCAAATTAGATGTCTTCATAATATATACATTAAAAGAATATTTCAAACTTTATATTTTTAAATACTTTCAAAGGCAAATAAGGATTTCTCTTTTTCTCAGAGATGGTGAAAACTTCTAATGTGATGTATGTGAAATTAACAATGACTCTACTTTAGAAAAAGTAAACCCCTGAGGGCTCACAGAGGTCACATAAAAGCTGTCAAAAAGTCATGGCAAATATATTGGCAGATGTTATGTAAATGTAAATTCTGTCATTTATGTTCTAAACATTATCTTTCCTCAGTCTAGTGTACAGGTCCTTCACACAGTCTGCAGATTATTGGAACTATTAATGAAGCAATGATTCTGCTAGAGCTTCCTCAGTGAACTAGCTTTGGTTCTTCAAATGGGAAAATCAGCAGGCCTCTAATGCAATTAAGGGAAAAAAAACTTTTTTTATGAGTTTACATTCACTCAACTTCTATTCACACTCCCTTTTGCTCCTGCAGTTCTCATACAATTCCCTCGTCTCAGCAACAATAGGTGGAGGAAGGCAAAAAATATTTTTTCCTTGTGTTGAATGGATTGTAATGTTTACCATTATGCTCTGTGAGATATGCAGTATTTATTCAACCCACTGTCTATTTATTGAAGTACCATAACATTCATTATAAATTCATCAGTATTTCTGTGTCAATAGTGTCTCAATTGCTTCTGTGTTTTACACAAAATGCCTGCATGCCGTTGTCTTCTATGCTTCTAACAAATTTCAAGGAAAAATGTTTTCATTGTATTCCTCATGAAAAAAAAAAACATTTCTTTAAATAGAATGTCACTTACAACATAAAAATGAGTCAAAGGGAG